AGATGCTTTCAGCTTCCAAATTGTGAACTTTCCATTTATATGTAGCTACATTCCAGCAGCCCTGCATTCGGAGTATATATCTCCGAATTGATACGATATTCCAAGGCATGTATTTCCTATCATGATTTCCTTGATAGAGAGTTGCTGCTCACAAGGAAGCTATTAAACTAAGAGCTCCAAGTGGTGAAGTTGAAATCATTCCTTTCGTAAGTTTTACGGACGCCATCACGAGTTGGTTGATCGTTATGGGATATCCGTTGCACAGATGATAGCGGATATGTTCCTAATGTCGTAACTACAATCCCGTCCCCTTTTCCCGAATGTGACCTACCAAATTATACTTATTACCGGGTTTGTATTACATGAGCAACACTACGGGTGCCACATGTGGAGCAGGATCTGTTTACCCTTCCGGATCATCTGGGATCACCCTCAATTTTTTGGTGGGGTTCTTGTTGCTCAGTCTTCAATTTCTATGTTGTGTTTTGCGTACTAATGTTGGTCTGTAGGTCTTTTTTTCATTTTTAGCCATGGCGTTGTCAGTTTATTTTCGACTTATGAGTTTGAATGTCCCTCTGGTATCCTTCGCCTCTCTTTTACAACTGACTCTACTGTTCTGATTTTTCTCTTCTTTGAAAGCCGTACGATGACGTAAAGTTGCTTACATCTACCTCATTTTGGAGTCAGATGGACAGTTGTCTAATAGGCAAACGTAACACCTCCCCTTTTTCATTATACTAAATTATCATGATAACAAAACTTTATACTGCAGTTAGAACACTGCCAGTTGTCTTTATCACCAAATATAGTAACAAAGTGATATTTCGTGCAACACCGATCTCATGTCACGTCCTTTTACGGCACAATTGGTGCTCGTTGAGAGATGGACATGAGTTAACATTTTTATAACTATAATATTAGCAATTTGTATCTGCAGTGTAAAATAGATTAGATCAATGTCAGAAAAATATCAACTTTTTTGTATTCGGGACGAAACTGTTGAAGGTTTCAGTAAACCTCGACATTCCAAAGTTTGTAAACTCATAGAGAAAGTTGATGTTATCAAGACATTGTATATATACTTATCATTTTTAAAGTTTACTGTAGAAACAAGATATAAATAGATATTGTAAACCAGCTTATTTTTGTGAATAGAAAAAAAACGCGAATATACCGAATTTGGATCTTATCAGCTCATCTAAGTTGGCAAACAAATTTCCACGAAATCGCAAATGTTGCAAAGAAATTATCAAAGATATCCAGGGTACGGATTTAGTAACCAAACACGTGACTCGTCTATTCAGTCCCATCAAGCAGTGGCACTGGAATCAAGCCAATTGATCATTTAACTATTTGTTCCTATCTTAATTGAATTGCAAGTTTACCTGTCATTTATAAAACAAAGTAAAATTAAAAACCCAAAAAACATTCATCATGCCAGATTCACAATTCTCCATTGCACCAAACACTATTTGCCATTGCAAAAACAAAAACTATTGAATATGTAACCACCTGCTGGCATATAGGCGGAGTTTCGACGATTGACATAAATCAATTTTCATTTGGGTGTTGCATTGCCTATTAAATGAATTTTTGCTTTTATAAAGTTTATAGCGTTTTTGCCAATCCAACTGTTGACAAGTAAACTATTTAACAATGTTAATGCTGAGGCTTGGTGTCATCTTGGTATTAGGTATGTAAACATACTTTTTAAATAATTTTTATCTATAACTATATGCTGCAACGCAATAGTTCCGACATATCTCAAAGTGATATATGGTTTAAAATGGCTAACAAGAGATAGTGGTTGCAATGTTTTTCGTTAAATAATAGGCACATGTAAGAATACAAAAACGATAAGTGGTAAAATCACTCAAATTCGTTAACTGAAACTGCTTATATATATACATTTTAGATACATTTAATCATCAAATTCGTCCATGAAAACATTGATTGAAGACAAAAGTAGTTAACCTTTGTTAAAGTTTTGTAAATCAATTTAGAAAATACAAATTATTAAACGAAAAGTAGCAAAATCTCTTAAATACTTTTGAATATGCCATTCACAGTAATTTTTTAGAACACTTTTATTATATAATTATTATTTTGACATATCACTGTTTTGTTAATCATTATTTATCCACAGTTATCAACTAAATTATATCACAAAAATTGCAAAAAGTTTGTGTTTTGTTGACTGACATTCGCAACTTTATGTTTATCGATTTGAACGTCTGATAAATTGCTCATATCAAGTTTAGTGTTTTCTCAGAGAATTAAAGGTTGCTTAAAAGTCATTGGAACAAGCATTGATAACATTAGGATAACTTAACGACCTCTAATATGATCAGGTCAAACATCATATTACATGGTCAGTTATTTCGTTGTGCTAATTAAAAGCGACATCGGATTTTTGTAAGGCATCAACATAATGGTGTAATAAAGTACATTAAATTGTTCCATATCGAGCGGATTGAATAAAGTTTCTACAAAAATTACGCGTATCACACATGATTAAATGCAAATTGATGATTTTTCTTTACAGTAGCTCTATGAAGTTTATCGCACCTTTACAAAAAAAATGGAAAGCAAGATATGTGTTCATATACTTTGCCAATCATGCAATTGTACTTCATACTTTTTGATCATCTGTTAGCTTATGTGTATATATGATTTAGTGAATTAAATAGTGCGTGTGTTTGTGCTGTATTTCTGTCATGTAGTGTTGTCATTTTTGCGATATTTTTTAACATTTTCATATTAGCGGGAGGTTTGGCTAGCCATAAAACAAGGTTCAACCCACCATTTTTTCTTAAAATGTCCTGTACAAGTCAGGAATATGGCAGTTGTTATCAAATAGTTCATTTCTATGTATGCTGGCGTTTGTTTTTGTTGCACTTCAGTGTTCCTGTTGTTCCTTTGTTTTCCTCTTAGAATTGATATGTTTCCCTCGGTTTTAGTTTGTAACCCGGATTTGTTTTCTCTCAATCGATTTATGACTTGAACACCGGTATACTACTGTTGCCTTTATTTAAACTTGCATTGCGGTGAGAGTTTTTTGTCTCCGTGTTGCAGGCCTCATTATGATTTTGAGATGAAGAAAAACAATATAATATAAAATATAAAAATAAGGAGATGAGATATGATTGCAAATGAGACAACTATCCACAAAAGTTCAAATGAAGTGGATGTAAGCAATTATAGGCAACCGTACGGCCTTCAACAATCAGAAAAAACCATACCATATAGTCGACAATAAAAGGCCACGACATAGAAAATATGAAACATTTCAATTCAGAAAACTAACGGCCAAATTTATAACAAAACAGTTTACGAAAATCAAATACGACCGACATGAACCAACGACAACCACTGAACTATAGGCTCCTGACTTGGGACAGACACTTAAAGAATGTGGCGGGGTTAAACAAGTTTGTGAGCGCTCAACCCTCCCCCTAACCTGGGACAGTGGTGAAACAGCACAACATAAGAACAAACTCTAAAAATCAGTTGAAAAAAAACTTAACCCATCAGATCGATACAAAAGCAGAAAAATCAAACAAAAAAACAGACCGGACGTTGCAGGGTATTTATTCATCCCTCATCCCTAACAACAAAAAGGACACTAAGTACAGATCTAAGAGTACTTGCAGTCACTGACAGCTAGTTCAAAGCCAATATTAACTTTAAAAAAAATCATGTATCTAAGACTAAAATATCAATCAGTACACATCAACATCCAAGCACTGTTCCTTTGCTTTTAGTTTGTTTTTTGCTGTGCGTGTACTGATTTTAGGGCATGGATGGATACCCCATATCCTTCGTTTTTCTATAATATTTATCTCTCATGCTGTGGGGAGGCCGTAGAAAGTTTCCATGTGCTTGATGTGTATGCTCTTCTATATTTTTAAAGTTATGGTGTATTTATTCTCTTATGTGTGTCACATCATTCTCTCAATTTTAGGCCAGTCTGTATACTAAAATATTGATAAGACGCACACCACCTATCACTTTTATGTTATTTGTTTTAATTTCAAGCATTTACGTGGGCGCGGTCTATATAGCGTTATTAACACATTAGAACATACTGGTTACTGAAACTTTGGATATTCCAAATCATATCTAAGAAACAGTCAATATATACCTTACTTTTTAGATTTGTTTATACTTTTTGTTTTATTCAAAATTATCAGTCAAAAGGTGTTCTACAAGGATAATAGGTCCTTCACCTTTCATTTATTACCTAAATTACCAAAACATATTTTACATAGTTTGATATTTACACCTATGCGTATGAACTATTTTGTTTTAAATATTTACTATTTTCCAATATGATAATGTGTTATTGTGCTATGGTCATTTTTTGTATTTTTGTCTTTCATATTTGCTGATGCGCTTTCTCTTTATGCTATTTTGTTTTTCTTTGTTGACACATTTGTTTGTTTTATAGTGATTAAAATTATAACACAATGTTGACTGATGTACCCCAATGTTTGACATTTTTCCTATTATGTCTGTTTGTTTTGTTCACACATCGTTATCAATATAATGGAATTCTATATGACTGTCATACAAGTAAGAGGTTTAGCTAACTATAAAACCAGGTTTAATCCACCATTTTCTACATAAGAAAATGCCTGTACCAAGTCAGGAATTTGACAGTTGTTTTCCATTCGTTTGATGTGCTTGAGCTTATGATTTTGCCATTTGATAACAGACTTTCCGTTTTGAATTTTCCTTGGAGTTCGGTATTTTTGTTATTTTACTTTTTTCAGATGATGTTTAGATCAAAATGACCACTTCAAATAAAATTCGTTTACTAGTGTGTGATTTTTTTTTTGTTTTTTTTTTCTGCGTCAAAATCATTCGAATGTGTTTCAATTTACAGGCATATGTTTGGAAGGCCTTCAAAACGAAATACAAGAGGGTATAGCTAAACGCAATCTAATTAAAAACCGATCTCTCATCGCTCCCGTTTTCTGATATGTCGCGTGGGCAATCTAATTAAAAACCGATCTCTCATCGCTCCCGTTTTCTGATATGTCGCGTGGGAGATCTAACGAAACCCGCTTTGAGGTCACATGTGAGTGAACTGGAACTTATGAATTTATAATGATATGCAAATAAGTTTACGACCTATCAATAAGCCAATCAAAAAAGTTTTCCTTTTGATCTTTTGGATTGAATGGGAAAATGGCGGACGATACAATGGATTCGATGATTACAGAAGTTTGTGCATTATTTGGAGTAGAAATGTTAAAATTTGAGCAAAGAGAAATTGTCAGATCACTTTTAGCGAGAAGAGACTGTATGGCTGTATTACCGACGGGATTTGGAAAGTCACTCCCGTACCAGATTTACCTTCCTTTGATACGGAGGATGAAAGCTGAGCCTGAACCCACTGAAGTGTTCACTCCAGAAACTGTCAACAATTTAGAGAAGCTTGACGTAGAAGAGAAAATAATTGTCTGTTGTCCACTTGTATCACTTATGAACGACCAAGTAAAGCGTCTAGAAACTGTACCTGGATTGAAGTCAGCCTTTAAAGGTATCATCACATACATACATGTATCAAGTTTTATATTAATTTTTAATATTAACTCACTGAAAAAGTTTTAACAATCTACATCAAGCCTCTCTTGTTTCCCAAAAGCCTGGTTTAGTTTATGCAATCTATCAGTATTAGTAAATTGTAAAATGTGGATAATGGCGAATACATGAAACGTCAGTAATTTGACAGCGCTTTCACCCTGTTGTATAAAAGCCAGAATTAGTAACTAAGATGTACCAATACAGATATAGATATGGCTAGTAATAGTATAGACTACATGTTCATGTATATATAAAAAAGAAGATGTGGTATGATTGCCATTGAGACAATTCTCCACAAGACTCTGTCAAGAGACCAAATGACACAGAAATTAACAACTATTGGTTACCATAGGGCCTTCAACAATGTCAATGAGCAAAGCCCATACTGCATAGTCAGCTATAAAAGGCCCCTAAATGACAAATGTAAGACAATTCAAATGAGAAAACTAACGACCTAATTTATGTACAAATAAATGAACAAAAAACAAATATGTAACAATATTAAACATGTAAGCCAGTTGATGTAAGCGGGATCCCAACTCTCCCCCTAACCTTGGACAGTGGTGTAACAGTACAACATAATCAACGAACTATAAAAATCGATTGAAAAAGGCTTAACTCATCAGATGTATACAAAAAGAAATACTTAGATCTAACAAAAACACAGCTTGTACATTATATATCAACAAAAAAAGACACTACATGTAACTACAGATCTGAGAGTACTCGCAGTTACTGACAGTTCAAAGCCACTTAAAACTATAGTCCATATAAAAAATAAGATGTAGCTACATGTTGTATAGTATGATTGCCAATTCAGTGAGACAACTTTCCACCAAAAACCAAATGACATGGAAGTTAACAATGATCGACAACACACCTTCAACAATGAGCAAAACCAATAGGCAATACCACATTGCTAGCTTTAAAAGTCCCTGAAATTAAATGTACATTTTAACAAATGTAAAATATTTCAAATTCAGAAAAACTAATCGCCAGACGCCTGATTACATGTACAATGTATGTACAAAAGAAATAAACAAAAACGAATGATTATATTCATCACACGAATGTTTAAATGCCATGTCATGCTCATGATGTTTAAATATTGGTTTCTTGTGTGGTGCACATACAATTCTTTTGTGGGAAATTAAAAAGAATTCAAAAATAGTTTTTCCTTTCTCAATTTTGCAGGCAACTCTGAAGAAGGTGATCAACAGATAAAAAACGGATCAATTGATGTCATATTTGCATCTCCTGAGACACTGGTTGGCGATCCTTATTGGAGGTCACAACTCCAGCAGCTTTCAGTAGGATTGATAGTTCTAGATGAATTTCATACCATAACAACATGGTAATTGTTATATGTCATTTGCTACAAACCCTTATTCTCAAGGGGTGGGGGGGGGTACTTCCTATATACAAGGTGATAGGACGTTCAGCTGGAATAGGTAACCTTTTCAAGCTTCAAAATAGGTCAAGACAAATATTGGTAATATATATATGATTAGGTTAATAAAGTTCCCATAACTTCTTCGTCTGTCTATCTAAATTAAAAACCGATCTCTCATTGCTCCTGTTTTCTTCTGTCCTCTTTTTTTGGTGTTCCTCTCTTTTGACACTTTGGTATCCCACTTTTACATTGCACACCACATGCATGAAAACCAAACAATATGAGAAAAGGTAACATTTTACCTACGCAATATATGAAAAGGTACTGTGCCCCCTCCCCGCTTATTCTAGTATTGAGGTATTATGATTATAAATGTCTGTTCTCTGATAAAGGATCCACAGGATGCCTACAATCTCCAGAGTGGAAGTATATTTTATACTGAACATTAAAAATATAGTACAACTATAATTAATATTAAAAAAAAAAAATAGAATGGGGCATAATTATTTATCATGTTCATTGGGTGATGATTTTTGTGCAAATTTTGTAAAACTTTGTTTTGCAGGGGAGGTGATGAAGAGACAGATGAGCAGGAAGCATTTAGGAAGTGGTTTAGATACATAGGAGAGATGAGAGCAATGTTTCCAAATGCTACTGCATTAGCATTGAGCGCTACTTGCACCAACAAGATAAAAAAGCAGGTCATGAAAATCCTGAACTTTAAAACAGACAACACTATGTTTTTGAATGTGTCTCCAAACAAGAGCAATATTAAACTTGTTGTTAAAAAAATTGAAAATTCTGTTGACACTGCAATGTTTTGGCTTATAGACTCTCTTGAACGTTTAGGACAGGATTTTCCTAAAACATTGATATATGCCAACAGCATAAATAAAGTTTCAAAATTGTATAAATACACTACAACTGAGGTGCCAATGTGTAAGTCTCTGGTTGAAATGTTTCATTCTGAAACATCCGACAAAAATAAAAATAAAATAATAGAGGCTATGTGTCAAATGTCTAGTGATATTAGAATTGTATTTGCAACCACTGCATTAGGAATGGGTATTGATGTAGTAGCATGTCATAGCATCATACTATACGGGTCACCGAGAAGGATACTGGATTTAGTTCAGGAAATAGGAAGAGTGGGCAGGGACAATACCAACTCTGTTGCAATTTTACTGCACAACTCCTTCCATTTAAGAAGTGTCAACAAGGAAGTCAGGACAGTATTCACAAAAAATACTTGCAGAAGACAGGTGCTGATGAGTAATTTCTTGCAAGATACTGAGTTGGAAGAACTTGCTAAAAAAGAATGTAACAAGCACACTTGTTGTGATAATTGTGCCAAAAACTGTTCATGTGGGGATTGTGAAATTCTGCAAATCGAATCTTTAATTGAAAATGTTGAAACTGTGCCACATGACAGTGATAGCGACACAATTGAGTATGAGTACAATGCTGCAGCTGATGATGGTGTTGAATTGTTTAGTTCTGATGATGATTTTTTGGCAGAATTGGATGAAAATGTTTGAAAAGAAATATCTGCCTTCTATTTTTTCTTGCATTGTGTTAAGGTTTACTGGGATTGCGCTTTTAAATGTGATAGCAATTGTTTAAGGTTTACTATTTATATATACTGTAAATTCAGAAATTATTGCATGCATTTATATTTATATTTTTGTCATTTTAGACTAAATTGCGATTTGAGTTTTTGCGATATTGAGAAAAATCCTGTTTAATTCATATAAAAAATTTCAAAATGCAAGTTCAAATCATTGCGATTATAACCCTGTCGCATTTTTTGCAATAATAAAAACATCCCAATAATTTCTGAATTTACAGTATCTTATCAGCAAATGAAATTCAGTATCAGGAAGCTTTGAAATCAAAGTGCATTCCCAGCTGGCTGCTACATGTTTTTGTCCTTTAGAGTCCATTATTAAACTTTTCATACATATAGTGATCCTATGAACAGAAAGCAATCAAACTTGGAATATATATTTTTGTTGACATAAACAATTATTTTTATTATACATGTACATAATGTTCAGTGAACAGAATAATTGTAAGGTGTACAGAGTGTGACAGAGTTCATTTGACCTCTGTTTCATGGTTCATTGGTCCACATAAGCTTTTGTTTTAGGCTTGTCTCTCAGATACATGTACATAACAATCAAACCACATCCCTTTTTTATACAACTCATTTTCATGGTTCATGCAAACATATTTTTAACATTTGTTAACATTCATTAAATTTATCTGTAACTTAAAATCCACTTTTTGCACAATGACAGTGATAAATAACTTTCTTAGAATATAATTGATCTTTAATATATTTGGGCCAAAGTGATGGAGGCTGGCTGATATTTGTATTGTAAATTATATAACTATGTATATATTCAGGTTGCACTATAACATGTATAATAAACAAATATATATATATATATGGTCAATATTAAGTTTTTGTGTTGGTGTCTCAAATACTTGTCACAGGTCAACTTTATTCAAAGTATAAATTTAAGTGAATGTAAGTTGTACAAATAAATAAAAATAAATACATGTGGTATAACTGAGACAACTATCCACCACAGACCGAAGGACAACGAAGAAAACAGTGGCAGATTCACATAAAAAAGAAGTATAACCAGAGTAAAGAAACTGTATAAGGCCGCAAGATGACAATGGATATAATGAGATTAGCTTAATCCCGGTTCAGAAACTCTACCCTCCCTCCCTCCATCTCACATTGGACATAGGCTCCTGACTTACAACAGGCACACTAAAACTATTTTGTGGTTTAACATATTTAACTTTGTGATTCTAGTGCAAAACAAGATTTCTAAGTACTAAATAAACGTATTGACTTAAAAAATAGTATGCATATAAAAAAAGATGTGGTATGATTCCCAATGGGCCTTTTTTAGCTGACTTTGCTTTATGGGCTTTGCTCATTGTTGTAGGCTGTACGGTGACCTATAGTTTTTAATTTCTTTGTCATTTGGTCTCTTGTGGAGAGTTGTCTCATTGGCAATCATACCACATCTTCCTTTTTATAGTAAGCAGTCTTAAAAGCATGAGTTTGACCCTTTCACTCCTTTCTCCATTTTGATAGACAATGCTAAATCTGTAGTAATATCAGGTCATGATCATGTTCATGGTCTTGAAAATTAAAACATTTAAACCCGCTGCATTTGTTTGTACCTGTCCTAAGTCAGGAATCTGATGTTTAGTAGTTGTCGTTTGTTGATGTGGTTCATAAGTGTTTCTTGTTTCTCGTTTTTTCGTTTTTTTTATAGATTAGACCGTTGGTTTTCCCGTTTAAATGGTTTTACACTAGTAATTTTGGGGCCCTTTATAGCTTACTGTTCGGTGTGAGCCAAGGCTCTGTGTTGAAGACCGTACTGTGACCTATAATGGTTTACTTATATAAATTTTGACTTGGATGGAGAGTTGTCTCATTGGCACTCATACCACATCTTCTTATATCTATTAGACTTTCAACACACAACAAAATTTCAATCATAATCAGTCATTGTCAGTAATGCAGGATACAGACAGTGTGTGCACATTTAATCATTTTATGGATGCCTATTTTAAAATTGGAAGCTAAATGCTAATGTTGTTGCATATAGGCACATAACCATAATTTTCATTAGGTGCCATTTTTTATGGGTAAAGATTAACCATTAAATTTGAATGTTCAATCAATGTACCAAGAAAATAAATGAATCCACAGCAATGAGGGAAAGAATGGCAAAAATTCAGTACAAAATAATTTATGGCTATCTGTAATTAACATCAGGACAACACTGTAGGTTCTTCAATGAATTAGCTATACATGCTATAGGAATCCTGAATATCCCCAACAAAAAATTTGCAATCAGATACAAGGACAAGGTAAAATACCAAAATTATGCAAAGAAGTGGGACATAACTTATACATAGTAGTATATATAGCTGATTATGCATTTAGATTTTTGCTCATTGATGAAGGTCATATGTTGACATATACATGATATAGTTGTTTTAACTTTGATGTAATGTGGTCTCTGATGGCGAGTTTTCATTGGCAGTCATACAAATCTTCTTATATATTCCTTACATGCGATAGGAAAATAGTACATGCAATCAGGTTTTTATTTTAAAGAGGGATTTCAACAATTATTCTCAGGTTGCAAATGAGAAGATATCATCAAGCTTACCATCCTTAAATATGTCTCATCACTTCCAGCTAAGATGGCAAATCTTTGTGTTGTGCAATGTCAGAAGAAGAACTAAAATTAGCATTCTATGCTAGGAGTGAATAAGAGCTTAAGCAGAGTCTTGTTTCAAAAACACTTCTTAATTTCAAATGAATTTATTTTGAAATGGAAATTAAACTAGGTAAGAACTTCACGCCATGGACTCCTAACAGTTGGACATGAAAAAGCTGCAAGACACCAAATGGACATACAAGTCTAGAACTTTTTTAAACACATTCAATCATGTTTACATATTAAATCTTTAAATAAGATAATAATACAAGTATGAACTTAAAGAAGAAGTTAATACATGAACAATGATGAATATAGATCACAATTATTGTGTAATGCAGGCAACTGTCCTATTGATGTTTGTCTCTTAAACGGCTAAAAGGTTCTTTTGGTTTGTGTCTATTTATCATGGTCGATAAACCTCTGTAGGAATTAATGAATGGATTTCTTTCGGTGGACAACTCTTTACACACAAATTTTCGTTTTGGTGTATGTTCAAAAGCCCTTATCTCTATCAGTTCTTTTGCTACCTTCATTACATCTGCTTTATATTGTGGTAATTTGTGAAATCCTTTTCGTTGTCGGATTTCTGATATTATATCAAAGTGTTTGATGTAGTTGATTAAATGTGGATATTGCTTGGAGTGCGCAATAATGCTTTCTTTGGTTTGGTGTCCTGTAACTATGTCCTTGCTGTCTTTGTTCAGCATTTCAACATATTCGTCCAGAGCAAGGTTATTGTTCTTTCCCCCTTGGATGTTCACTGTTCTGTTTAAAATCAGTCTATCTCTTTGTTCTGGTGATAGAGTTTCTTCTGAAAGAGCAGTCAAATGAATGCAGCCAATGACATATTTTAATTTATTTGTTGTGTTGAAAATTGGTAGTTCGTATTTTGCTGACCTCACAGATATTCTCCCATCTGCCATATCAATAGCGGTATCTAAGTTTTTAAGAAGTCCAGTTAATTTAAATAAAAGTATAATGTAGTTAAATAGCTGATCATCAGTTGCCGATGTCTTTGATTTCTTTTTCTTTTCAATTTTTGGTCCATTGTGCTGATGACAAATTCGCTCATGTGTTTTAAGGCTTCCAACGTGAGAGTAAGTCTTTATACAAAAATGACAGGGAAATCTTCCCTCCTCATTCAGAACCCAATAATTCTCTGGGTGATCAGGATCCTCCAAAATTTCTCTGAGCTCCTGAAACATATCAGTATTTTCAAAAAACCACTCCTCAACAATACTTGAACATACATTCAATAACCACTGGACCTTTTGCTCACTGTTCTTTTCTTTGAAGTCAGATGGCAGTTCTATAACTCCGTCTAAGTCATGTGTATTGAATTGTTTCATAAATAAAATACAACAGCAGGCATCAAATATTGTATAGTACAACAGTTTATATACTCGAAAAGCATTTTTAACCTCAGCTTTGACGTTCCTAAGATTTAGAAAATTTCTAAAATAACAAGCTGTACCTCTATCCATCGTTGATTGGGCGTATGTGAGTTTACAAATTGCCTGAAAATATAAGATATGTGAATAAACTGAGTCCTACTGTATGAAAATAATTTTAATAGGTTTATAAAATTAAATTGAGAAATTGATGAAAAAAATTACATTGATGGTTGTTTTAATTCTTTCTAAAAAATTCGATTAAACTGCCTTGTCTGGAACAGCTTAACAGTTAAACAAGCACAACTCAACGAATTACCTGTCATTAAATTGATTGATTAATAAGTGTTTAACACCACTGTCAGTTCTATTGACTATTTCATGGCAGTCAGTTTTTATTAGTGAAGGAAACCAGAGTACCCGGAGAGAGTCAAAAGCATCTGCCGAGTGTTGGATTCAAAATCAGTCTCGGCTAGTGATACAGTAGTTAAATAACTTCAGCCCCCCCTCCCCCCCCCCCTGTAATGAAACATAAAATGCCCAACATAATTAGCTACGGTTGTATACCTCCAAAAAATTCATCATTCTGTGCCAGTCTTCAATTTTGGAAATGAAACCTTGCAGTTTCTCTTTTGGTGTATCACCATTTGACATGGCTTGCTGAGCTGACTGGATTCTTTCGTCTGTCAATCTGTCTCCTAAAAAGGATTAAGTTTTTTACAAACAGTTTTCCTTCATATGCTTCAGTCCTCCTCCCCCCCTACCCCACCACCCAAGAAATGAATATTAACAAAAACAAACCATTATGCATAGGAACTTAGTTTTTATAATCATCACAAAATTGAAAAATATTTAGCTATTCTTTGTCTAACTATAATAATACCGGTATCGGAAAATATTTCATTCATTTCTGACATATTAGAAAATCATCAGCATTGTCACTTAAAAGTGTATATTGCATAATAACATGAATAATGTGGCTTTCTCATTTGAATTGTTTTAGATTTTTTTTCATTTCTGGGCCTTCTAGCTTACTATGCAGTTTGGGTTTAACTGTTTTGATCATTGTTGAAGGCTTTATTATGGCCTCTACTATAGTTGTTAACTTGTACCTCATTTGTTCTCTGGTAAGAGTTTTCTCATTGGCAATCATGGCACATCTTTTTATTTTTCTATAGATCTGTTGATCAAAATAAATTGTTCTTTAAACAGAATATATTAATGTAAAATTACCTCCAAAGAAAACTTCATTAATCACTTCCCCAT